AAGATAATGCTAGCTATCATCCACCGCTTAAAGATTTTGACAGATTGTTGACAGGACATCAGATAATTAGCGGACAACCGTCAGTACATGCTTTGTGATCAGCTGTACAAGACGTCGATTAAGTTACCTCAGCTAGATACACATTTCATTTTGAGGACATCTGCGTTCAAGGTCTCATAGGAATTTTCCTACGCAATTTATATCTTTAGAGTTTAACAAAAAATAAAAAAATCTAATGACCTTGTCTCAGCAAGAAATATATTTTGATTTTCAAATTCAAAATCACTTCGAGGAGTACAATTTTGTTTCAAAATGTTACTTAATTCCACTGATTTTAGGAATCATCGCCTATATGGTTCATTTAATTTTTCTGTAATTAAATGAATATTTTAATTAGTTGTTTATCTTAATATTTGGGACTTGACTTGCCACGGCACCAAGCGAACAACCAAAAGCAATGGTACGACCCAGTTCAACCAACAACATTGGAGAATCGGAGTCAGGCTAGACGACAGATGGATCTAACCAAACAGATGCATCAACCCCTTCCGGAAGCTATGCCAGGGACAGGTCAGCATGGCCAGCAGACGACTCATCAATCCAAAAAGTCTCAGGAGACCCAGAATTAGGAAGCTGTGCCAGTGTATTCTGTTCATAATTTAGGTATGCACACAGATCAGTCTTTGAAACAAAAAAAAAAATAATTGAGGGTCAGTTTGTAGAATTACAATCTCTGCTTCCACCAAATCCATGGGGGTAAAGATAAAAAAAAACTAACCGTTACCCTACGTGCCACCAGAGAAAATATAACAAAGGAAAATGTATCCAATTGCAAAATATATTCAATTGAAAAATGGACAGATGTCATGCTAATGTTTGTATCCGTTTACAGAACTGCACATTGAGATAAGGCAGAAGAAATGCTAAAGTTTATACATACAGTTCGTTTGGAGGCTTCAAGAGGGGCTACAGGGTGGTATCAATATGACACACAGTATCGTCTGCGGAACTCAATAGATCCCTCTAGTTCTTGGGCCTTAGTTGATTCAGAGCTGTGGTTGTTGTACATGAAACATTAGTTATCAGCCTGGTCTTCCCCAGGCTCAAAATATATAAATAAAGAAATGATGCTTCGATTTCAATTTTAAGGGATGCTGCAGTTGAAGTCCTTGTCAGTACATACATACGTGTATACGTTGCGCATTTAGCACCCAATCATACAATGCAATTATCAAAGAGCCCAGGCAAATACCAGTAGCTCATTGCAGAACCCCACCTATTTTTTTTTAACCCAGCTCATGCAACCACAATCACAATATAGAAATGCATATACAAGACTACAAACTCAACAAAACTCCTAGCAAAAACCTCAATTCTAAATCAAAAATCACAGGGGAAATGGCCAAAAAAGTATGGGTCCTAGGAAAACACCAATTAAAATCCTTATATTAAAAAATTACCTTGCTCATTACCCCAAAAAATAAACTGTAGCACATAAATTAAGTGTTTTTTTTTCTCAAGGGTTCAGACTATACTAATCTGGTTAGTTATTGAAAACAACAATTTCGTTTCAGCCTATTTATTACATTTTTATATATTTTAAAAATTAACAAAGAAGTCGAATAAAGCAGGGGGGGGGGGGGTTTACAAAGAGCTACCCATATGTAATATTCGGGTATCTTCAGTAGAAGTGGTACCGAAGGGGATAGTGCTGTGTGGTGTTTGATAACACACCTTCCATATCCTTCTTGGTTACAGAAAAAAGAGTGGTCTTGATGCTGAAAATCATTATTCAGATGATTTCCTATTTGCAGGGGAGGATAGGAAGTCCTATCTTAAATTAATGCTAACTTTTCAAGGAGTTTGTACTGAACTGGGGTCCCCTTAGCTGAGAACAAAACAGTTTATCCCAATCAACACAGTGCAAATGATGGTCAGAATACCTCATGAAAAATGTATTGAATTGGCGTCTATACTGCAAAAGCATTTGAGCAAAAAACATATAATTCTGCGTCAGTTGTAGTCCTTGTTAGGGAAGCTAAACTTTTTACTAAAGCTTTTTCCGCTGGTGGAGCATTTGTTAGGAGATTGTACAATTCTCAACTCATGGCGTATCTAAGCCTCACTACTATATTAAGATAAACAATAAATAAAGCAAAACATGCTTATGTGGTTAAGTTTCATAGAGCAATTTAATGGTCAAGTTTTCCAAGAAAGTGATCGGTCCTCAAATTTGGTTTTAAATTTGTATACAGATAGTACTGGTTCCGCCCATCTGGGTTGTGCATACATTCAAGGGCAATGGTGCTATTTTCCTTGGCCACATGAATGGGTTAATTCAGATATCTTGCATGACATGACAACACTAGAACTTATCTCCAGTGGTTTTGGCCATCAGTTTATGAGGTAGTAAACTCGCAAAAAAGTACTATTCATATTGATTGATTGCATATTGTTTTACGTCAAGTCAAGAATTTTTCACTCAAATAGAAATGTCACCATATATCGGTGAATGGCTTCAAATTTAGACCTTTACTCGGCACTCAGGGTCATTAAGCAGTGAGGGTTCTTTATCGTGCCAATGCCTACCGTGACATGGGGCCTCGGTTTTTAAGGTCTCAACAACTTTCACTTAAAAGTACCAAGCTCTTGGCGAAGGAACAGTTGCTTCCTATTTTTTATCGACTCATGTCAGTCGCGGCCGTGATTCGAACACGACCTTCCGATCACGGAGCGAGCGCTCTACCGACTGAGCTATCGTGACGGAATTTCATATTGATAATGAGACATTGGTTGCAGTTTTGAATAAACAGTCAGCAAAATTCAATATAGTTATGGAAATAATTCGTCCAATTGTGTTAAACAACATTTTTTCCGTGCTGCTCATATCCGTACAAATGATAACATTATTGCTGATTCAATTTCTCGTCAGCAGTGGCACTGTTTCTGACAGGCTGTACCAAATGCACATACATATCACCACAACTTGTACCAATCAAATTCCTGAACCTCATATCTAGCATGCCATAAGCAAGTTGTTATGGGCAGTATTATCTGAAAACAATTGCAGGGCTTAACAAATTGGTTTAAGAGCATACTTCAGCTGCTGCATGCAACAGGGATTGAGTACACCTTAGCCACCGGCCTGTGAATTGTTTGCCACTTGCTGTGGCCTTCAACTCGACATTTCGATATATCGAAGACGTATATTATCAATTAACAATAGTTACTTTCATTCATATGTGGACTCGATATATCCCAGAGAGCTTGAAATAAAAAATACCACAGATTCTGACACATCTGTTTCATATTTAGATATTTACTAGAAAAAGACGTTTATGGTAACCTAACAACAAAGCTTTATGATAAAAGTGATGACTTCAACTTTTCAATCGTCAACTTCCCTTACTTATGTACATGTAGCAATATACCCTTATCAACTGCCTATGGGGTTTATGTCTCTCAGTTGATTCGATATGCCAGAGTATGCTCTACGAATGAACAATTTCTAAAACGAGGCAAGCTATTGACAAACAAGTTGACGAAACAAGGATATCAGCAGTCTCGTTTGAAGTCATCTTTTCGCAAGTTTTTCGGTCTATACAATAACCTTGTCAGTACACACACCCTATCATTGAGTCAAATGCTGACTGACGTTTTTTTTATACTAATTGTTAGGCCACTATTTATACACTGAACTGTCTACGAATTTTTCCCGGTTTTTGTTTCCCGATCATGACAAGGAGCAATCGGTGGGTGTGACCGGTCGGCAGGGGATGCTCACTCCTCCATGGCACCTGATCCCATCTCTAAATTTGAGGTTCGTGTTTGCTCTGCTCCAAATTTGCATCGTTTCATTGGGCTTTCGAGAATGAATACTGTTCGTTATCTTCATATTTCATTGTCAGATTTGTTGCACATTTGTCACTTAAGGACCTAGTTTTTTCTACAGTTCGATCTTACTTAGCTTCTGTAATTTATAATTGCAAACTTCAAGGTCACAAAAATCCAACAGAGGAGTTCATGGTTAAAAAGTTGTTACAGGGGTTGAAACGCACAGCTCACAGCATTGACAGTAGGTTGCCCATTACAAAGTCCATCTTACAGCAGATTCTTAAAACTCTACTCAGTGTATGTAAAAAATTATATGAGGTATCATTGTTTTTGGCAGCATTTTTTTATTGCATAATTTGTTATCCTTAGAGCAGGAGAACTTGCGGTTGTCGGCAAATCCTCAGAAAGGGTTTTTGCTTAGTATAAAGTGCTGTATGCATTAACTAAAATTCTCACTTCTCCTTAGATCGATGTATCAAGATTCTTGTTGTTCATACCTTAAAATATGAATTAATAATAGGTTAATAATAGAATTAATGTCATTTGTTGAAATGATCAAAACTCCCTATTTTTTATATTTCGACACTTTTTTCCCAGTTGGGAATCGGTATTGGTACCATTCCTTTTTAGAAAGAAAAATGATTAGCAAACTAATGCTGAAGTGTTACTAGAGTTTTTATCATATTAGTCAAGTTTGGATATTAATTTAAAATCTTACCAATTACAGTTGCAGATCTATGAGTAAGGATCCAGGGAAGGGGGGGGGGGGCAAACACATGTATATTTATACGTGCTGTTTTGGTAGCGTTGTATTGTGGCAGCCGTTTGAAAGGGAAGAGTGTTAAAACCATTGATAGTAAAAAAATGTTTTTAAATAGCGATTTTAAAAAAATTCTTATGTTTTGGCAAAGGATATAAACACAGAAAACACATGATAAATAGCACATGTATTATACATATGGTTAGAATGGTAAAGACCACACGTACATGTACATGAAAATATCCTAATTTATATTTATTAGGATTTGAGCGATAAATCTCTGTCATGAACGGGTGACGAAATTTGTTCATCTACGAGTATATTCAAAACATATTTCTCCTGATATATATAACATTCATAACTTTCATAACAAAAATATCATAAAAATAATATAAAATGAGATACCCAGATCTGAAGTTCTTTAATTGTTTTCGTACTCGCCATATCTTCTAAAATCTGTACATGCAAGATATACACTTAAAGCAAACACAACAAAGAAACAGAGGATAACTGCATTAAATTTATCATAAATACTATTTTTTTTTGTTTCAGCAATCCCTATTTCCTATTTCAATATATGAAGCACGATTCATTATTAGAAAATAGAAAGTGTTCTAAAAAGCTTAGTTAGCGGGTAAACCAACACCTTTTATATCTCAATTTTTCGGAGAGAGAGAGAGAGAGAGAGAGAGAGAAACACAGAATCCTCTCAATTTTTGTTAAAGTTTTTAAACATGATATCATATTTAAAGTACAATAACATTTCCTTTGTCAAAGCCGTTTTATCAAATATATGTTGATACAAAACTATATCAGTAAATCTTGTATAATTCACGGTTCAGATGACTCCATTCTATGTCCATGTACCAAAAAAATCTCCTGATTCAGCTATACAATTTACCAGTGTAATGCATTTTCATGTTTTCTCATTGGAATGATTGGAGACTGATGGGTTTGAGTAGAGCTTTCTCCTGCTGCTACAAGACTGTCGTCCGAATTTAACAGTCGTAGTCATCGATGTTTGCCTCGACAGTGGAATGTCTCCGTATTTAAACCGACCAATTCTTAAACAGCAAAAACATTTCTTAAAGAATGTTCGAAAAGCATTGCGAAATTTTCTGTTCATCCAAAAGTAAACAAATGGGTTGTAACAAGAATGGCTGGCGGAAATGACTTCACACGTGATCCACATGTACCGGATGTTCTTCACGTTAATGAATATGTCTGGATTTTCGTCAGTCGCCAGTTGCAGAGTATGCAAAGGGAGCCAGCAGATAGCATAAAGAAGAACTACTACGATCATCATTTTCACCATCTATTAAAAAAATTAAAATCAGATCAGGATAGAAATTAAATCAGATTGATATATCTTATTTTTTCCATATCTTAAATTTGTTATTACAATCTTCGAGATATATGCTATCTTTTTTTTATCAGAAGAATTGATGGTACATATCAGAATATCCAATGTTCTATGTCGAATACCAAACATTTATAAAAATAAAAAACTCGTTAGAATCAAAGGCATTTAATTTAATTATTTGCTGTGTTTTCAAATAATCACGACAATCTTTGACATCTAAAGTAGTGAGGATTTTGAAGTCTTCGTTTCCCTACTGTTTATAATGATAGAGCACTTATGTAAATATAGGTAATAAAGTATATTGTTTCAATAGATTAGAGGGAAATCGAGCAATGTATTAAAATGATTTGGTCCCGACTACTATGCAAGTGTATCAAGCTTAATACTACAGAGGTATAGTCTTTTTCAAACTTTTTTCGGGCAGTATATTTTCTTGGTCAAGTTTTTTTTAATTCAATAAACAGATATTTTGAGATTCTTAAAAACGTTTGAGTGTGGTTTCATATGTGTAAGAAATTACACGCTTAAAATATATCCGATAACTTTAGCATAATTTAAACGACAACATTAAGAACCCTCTATACACCAGTGCAAAATATTTTTTGGACATTGAGAAAAATATATTGTATGAAGGTGTTAATACTGAGCTTTTCTATTTACTTTTCACTATATGGTACCTGGCATTTACCCCCAGGAAAAAATGCTCAAATACAACACAGTATCAGTGAATAGAAATCATCGTTGTTTACCTCCATAGAGAAAATACATGTAAATAACGTTCAATTAATTTATCTTGGCCTTTTAAAATGTTAAGAATACTTGAATTGATTACAAATTGAGTAATATACTGTAAATTTCTATTTTTTAGAATTTAAATCTAAGGGTAGATCGATCACTCTCACTGCAGAAAAATACCATAGAATCAGAACTCTTTAGTGTGCAGTGTACAGAGGGTTCTTAAAGAGAATGTTCATTAAAAGATTAAAGTTATCTTTTTATGAACGATAAGCCTGACATTTATTGCCTTTGTTGATTATTCTGATTTAGGTTTGGTCTTTACATATTTTTTTTTTATATTTTTTAATTCTAATTGCATTATGTGTACACAAGCTGGTCGAAACCAACAGATAGTGTGGAACATAGGATTTCTAAATATATTATATCATACAAACCACTCTCCAACATTTCAGTAATCAACATCTACATTCATAATTCAAAAGGTTCCTATTTTAAACTAGAACAAGCGTTCTTAGAGCATTGCATAGTTATAAGAATTGCTGAATCTTTCTTGATTAAACTCTTGATGTTTTCTATTAGCGATTGCATCTGCACTTCATTATATATACGAAAGAAAATGCGCTCTGCAAACACTAGTTCCCTTTTAATTAAATGTTTTTAAAAAGACAAATCCTATTACATGCGAACAAGCTTGACTTAGAATTACATGTTTAAAATAATTTTTAAAAAAACGAGAGTTCTTAGACATTTCTATTTCATTACTTTTAGTTTTATGAAACATGTACATACCTATTCAACAGCACAAGAACAAACGGCATCAGTTATTTCTGCTTTCAAATTAAAGTTCTTTGCAAGTTTTGGTATTCTAATACAATTAAATACATTGATACATAAAACAATTGATAAAAATGCTCAGATGAAGGCATGGTTGTTTTGTTTTAGTTTATTTGAATTTTGAGAATATCTGTATGCTGTACTCTCCTGGTAGTACTCACACGACCATCTCAATTTCAATGCAGGATTTAACTAGCTTATTAAATCAACTGAAATTAGCCATTCAGAACTGTTTTTTCTGATGTGTAAAAATGATTTTCGTAACACAGTCGAACTTCATCTTGATCGCAGAATGATTACTGCTTTGGTTAGAGGTCAAAGCGTTTGAATCATTATGATGTTATTTGCTCAACGATAAATACATACATTCTTAAACCTCATAAAAGATAACTACCTCATTAATAATCCTGATAAAACACCAAATGGCAAGAATACTGAATCTATTTGAAACTTTTTAAATTATTTTGAAGTTTAATTGAAATTATCCGAACAAATACTCGTAATCAGACATTTTTCAAGTCGAGTTTCGGCTTTGTAGGGTAGTTGAACGAAATGATGTTGATGATGTAACAAGTTGATTTTTTTAAAAAAAGTTTATTCATTATTAGGCTATATTATTACTCTAATAAATTATGTAGAAGGTTAGGTAATAAAAGACATATCATGCATGGCTACTCGGGGTATAGTCAAAGTGTTGTCCCTCGAGTTTGATTGTATGAAAGATCTGAAATTATATCTAGAAGGCTGCTTATTTGATCTTACCAAAAAAAAAAAATATCAAGGAATTGGTAATAGTTTTATTTTAGGAAGGAACATGCTTTTTTATAATTGTCATTTCATACAAAAACCGTAGGATAATTTTAGTGGAGAAACATACTGTTACATTATGTATCTGATTTTATTTCCTCGGGGAAACATCTTTTCGTAATTAGAGGGTATTTAATCAATATATGAGAACTTTTATTTATGACTATATTTTACTCCGAGATCCTCATTATAAAAAAGTTAATAAAAAAAATCAATATTGCAGACATATGAAACGTGGCAGTTGAAAGACGGTGAAACATTTTAATCAAAGCACTGGAAGGACAGAAAAAATTGACATAACATTGTAAAAATCGGTATGATATTAAGCATCTGAAACAATGATTGATCATTTATACTTTTTCTTTTAAAAAATGAAAAAATTCATCCTAAGGATTTTAAGGTATGATATAAATCAATGCAAAATACTGTGAAGATTTGGTTAAACCATAGCATCACACTCATATGGAAGAAAAAAAAAAATCAAAACTAGCATTTGAAATATTAGGGAATAAGAATCTGTGCATGTAAATTACTGTATTTTTTTTTTAATTCTTTATTTATTAATTTTTTATTTATTTATTTTGTATTTTGTTGATAATCCGTACGTAAAAACAATACAATAACTAAAAAAGGATAAATAATTTTTGAGGAGATATTCCTTATGAACAGTATATTTAAAAAGTAAATTGCTGTGAAGGAGAAACTTCAGACGCACTGTGCTACAGCATATTCTACAAGAGGTGTGTAAATCAGATGTGAATTCTCAAAATCCCAAATAGATTTCAGAAAAATTAGAATGACCATTTTTTTCTAAAGCCAATAACAACAAAATTTTTCTATACTTTAACTATTCTTCGCGATAAATTAAAAACTACGCAATTTAATATAGACGACTGCTACTTCAATAAAAATGAAACTAGAAAATTTTCGTGCCTTGCAACAAAATTGCTTCTATAAAAATTTCACTGATTCTAAACAAAAGTACTCTGAGGCTGATATTAAAAAGATGACAACATTTATGTAGTCTTCAGAGACTGGATCTTCCTACAATCCGTTAAAAAATCCAGTGGGCACTAATTCTGTTTCTTCATTGGCCGACCTGTTTTTATATTCCCGTGAAGCTTGATTTATTCCTATAATTCTATACGAGGAGAAAACACTTGTGATCATCAACTCGACATTTAGATATATTGGCTATATTTTATCAATCAACAATAGTTACCTCCATTCATATGTCAACTTCAGATATCAGAGTGAACTTGAAAAAAGAGACCAGAGTCTGTCACTCTGTTTTATATTTGGATGTTCTACTGACTATAGACGATAAGGACCAGCAAACCCTAAACTGTATGGCAAACAAGATGACATCAGCTTTAACATCATCAACTTTCCTCATTTATGTATTAATATTCCATTATCAACTGCATATGGTGTTTCCAAAGTCTCCCATCCATGCTCAGAAGCATGCTCTGTTGTACGATCAGTTTTTAAACCGAGGCAGGCTATTGAAAGATAAGTTGATATTACAGAGATTTCCTCGGCTCCTTATCCCACCTTTTTAAAGTAAGCCTCGTTTAAAGTCAGCATTTCGTAAATTTTATGGTTGTTTAAATGTCATGTTAACAAATATAAACTATCATAGGTCGTATTTTTGCTGACGTGTTCCATACCAATTGTTAGGCCTTCATATTTATACTGAATTATACTACGGAATGTTCCGTCTACCTGAAAAATATATAGGTCTCACGGCGGGTGTTAACGGTCAACAGGGGATGCTTACTCCTCCTCGGCCCCTTATCCCACCTCTGAAATTTTCGGAGGTCCGTTTTTTATGACCTGTTCACATATTTGTATTGTTTGTAGGTTTTTGAAATCGATCACTGTTCCTTATCTTCATTTTTTTCATGAAAAATAGTGGTCAGTCTCATAAAACAATACGGTAGGTTGTATATACAAATAGGTCATTATGTTGAACGTAGAATTTGCTGATAACGGAGCTGTTGAAATTCTTGTAATATCATCCCTATTTGTCAGAAGCTTGTCTCGGCTTAAAATTGATCGTAATCAAAACATTCTCTTGCGTTTTGAATCATCTGGAATAGAAAGACACCATATGCAGGTGACAGTAGAATATTACTACTTAAATGAGAAAAGTTGACAATGGAAACGCTGAAGTCATCCCGTTTGTCATAGAGTTTAATCATTAGTTGGCCATTATCATCTATAGTCTGTAAAAAAAAAAGTCCAAATTGGAAACAATTGTGACAAGGATGTCAACAGTCTCGTTTATAGTCATCATTTTGCAAGTTCTACGGTCGATACAATGACCTTGTCAGCAAATTGAATCTATACATTAAGTCGAATGCTGACTGACTTTTTCATACTAATTGTTAGGCCATTATTTAAACACTGAATTGTCTACGGATTTTTCCGTTATCCTGACATTGACAATGAGCCCAAGATTTATCTGACTGGTTGTCAGGGGATGCTTACTCCTTCATGGCACCTCATCCCACCTCTGATGTTTTTTTAGAGATCCATGTTTGTTTTGCTCCCGATTTGTATCGTTTCAA